AATTCATGCAAAAAATAAATAAATAAATAAATAAATAACATTAGCTCTTCAAGAAACAAAACCCAAGGGTCTTAAAATACCCCAAAAGATTAGGAACATTGATCTAGGGGACCTTCTCCTCAGCACAGTGCACACCTGGAGGAGGCCCCAGCCAATGCTCTGAGAAAGCCCTGCTGTTCATTTCAGTCTGAATGCGCTGTTCTAGGGCACTTCCTAACACTCAGGCCCAAGAAAATAAAACAGGTTTAAGAATGTCTATTTCTGTTAAAAGTACAAGGGTGAAGGAGAAGACTATTAAAAACTGAGAATTTTATCAGCCATTTCACACAGCTGCAAATCTTTTGGTTCCAAGGCTGAATGAAGCATGAGGCTTAATGACAGCCCGTGACTAAACGTCACTGGTTTACAAGAAAAGCAGCAGAGTGAGGATGAGGTTTGGGAAAAATTAATTAAAAATACTAACACAATTTTCTGTTGCACAACAACGTAAATACACTTAACACTACTGAACTGTATGTACTCTTAAAAATCTCAAGATGGTAAATTTTATGTTACGTGTTTTTTAACACAATTATATAAAAAAAAAGTTACACAATTCAAACCACTTTCAGGTGTCTGGTCTACAATTGTTACCTAGGATTCTGCTCCATACCCTCCTTAAATTTTGATGGCAAGACTTGGTTCAACATGGCCTCTTGTTTCCCACCTGCTTCAGATCGCATATTCTGTAACATGGGGAAGAAACTAGCCTGTGTGAAAATATAACAAATCTAGAAATAAAGTAACATGTGCAAGCTAGATAATCTGGGCAAGTCTTTGGTTTTAAGTCTGTGAAGATGTCAAAAACAAATGATGACAGTCAAAGCTCAGAAAATGGAAATTAGATAACGTTCCTTTATATTGTTTTTTTAAAAAATTCAATTTATTTAAACTAAAAAAAAACCCCAAAACGTTCGCCCGACGCCAACCCCACCTCAGCAACCACCAGTCTGTTCCCTATATCTATAAGCTTCCCTATATCTATAAGTTTTTTAAAGTTTTAATTTTTTTAGATTCCACATGTAAGAAAGATTACATGGTATTTGTCTCTTATTTCATGTTAAATGCCTTAATCACTGATTTTCCCCTATAACTCCTTTCCTAAAAATGAATACTTGTAAAAATCACCAAGTTCATTTCATGTTCTGTTCTCAAGTATTTGCCTATTTGTCAAGCTGGTGAGAATTTTTAAACAATGCTAGATTCCTTAAAGTTTGATAACCTACAGCTCCATTTTAAACAAATATTAAAATATTCAGAATCTGAATTCTCCCCAAATTAAATACATGTAACGTTATTCCAATAAAAAGGCCAACATAACTTTTTGAACCTGGCAAATTGATTCTAAAGTTCATAGGGAAAAACTAAAGTAAAACTAGTCAGGAAAATTCTGTAAAGTAAATGATGACCACACTAAATACTAAGGCTTTTTATAAATCTCTAGTAATAAAGCAATGAGGCAGTAGTGCTTAAATAGACTAATGGGATAGAAGACAGTCAGCAACAGATTCAAATACACTTGGGAATTATTTCATTCAATAAAAAATTTTGAGAGCTTTTTACCAGGCACTGGGGACATAGGTGTGAACAAATACGTGGACCTGTCATGAAGCCAGCACAGTCTCGTATAATGTAAAGGTGGCATTTCAAATTAGTAGTGGAAAAGATTGAAAAAAATCATCTGTGTTAGTTCTTTTTTTTTGTGTGTGAGGAAGATCAGCCCTGAGCTAACATCCATGCTAATCCTCCTCTTTTTGCTGAGGAAGACCGGCTCTGAGCTAACATCTATTGCCAATTCTCTTCCTTTTTTTTCCCCAAAGCCCCAGTAGATAGTTGTATGTCATAGCTGCACATCCTTCTAGTTGCTGTATGTGGGACGTGGCCTCAGCATGGCCAGAGAAGCGGTGCGTCAGTGCGTGCCCGGGATCCGAACCCGGGCCGCCAGTATCGGAGTGCGTGGACCTACCCGCTAAGCCAGGCGGCCGGCCCCATCCGTGTTAGTTCTAACTGGCTGGTTGAGGGTACGAGAGAGCGGCCTAGATTCATACTTAGATGGAGCTAAGAACTTAAAAAAAAAAGCTAGTTCTATATTTATTTGATGAAAGTTTAAAAACAAAGTCATGAAAGAATTAAAAGAAAACTTCAAAGAATTCATTTTTTGGTAACACTGGAGTAAGGAGGTCTTTTCTAGGGGAAAAAACCCACAAGGACCATAAAACAAAAAAATAGGTCATCATGACTACATTACAGTTGTTTTGTGTGTGTGTGTGAGGAAGATTAGCCCTGAGCCAACATCCGTTGCCAATCCTCCTCTTTTTGCTGAGAAAGATTGGCCCTGAGCTAACATCCATGCCCATCTTCTTCTACTTTATATGTGGGATGCTGCCAGAGCATGGTTTGATAAGTGGTGTGTAGGTCCGCGCCTGGGATCTGAACCTGTGAACCCTGGGCCGCAGAAGCAAAGCACGCGAACTTAACCACAGGCCAGCCCCTGACTACATTAAAGTTTTTTTAAACTACATAAATATCAAAATGCACATGGTTAATTAGGGAAAAATATTTGCAACATATGACCCCCAAATGCTAATTTTCTTAACATATAAATAGCTATGACAAATGAATAAAAAATAGACAATACAGTAGAAAAAATGAACCAAAGAACATGAACAGTTCACACAAAAAGAAAAATTCATGACAAACGAAGGTGGTCTACATAATTTATAACTAGAGAAATAAAAATGTTTCCTTTACCAGCAATGATGAAAAAGTTTGACGTCTACAATGTTGGTGAAGAGGTAGGAGAACAAGTACTCATACACTACTGGCAGGCCCAAAGACAGAAGCACGCTTTTGGGAGGTAAGTTTGCAATAGCTCTCAAATTATAAATGAGCAGACCCCTTGCTGACATGGAAAATTAGCCAAGATAATTAACTTAATAATAAATGTATAACTCTAGAGTAAATTATATTTTAAACTAGTGGTGTCCAAGCTTTTTTAGTACGTAAAATAATTTTTAGCATTCATTTCCTAAATATTTATAAATGATATACATATGCTACTAAACTAAAATCTGCAGTATAACACATCTCCCAAAAACAAGTTTAAAAAACTTCAGAAGTTTAAAAAAACCTGAAGTTTATTTGGGTCAACGAATTCTGACCTGAATTTATTGGCAGCAAATTTGGCCTGAACTACATGAGGCTATTAATAGTCTTTATTTATCCGGACAGAGTGAATTTCTTGGTTGTGTTTGATTTTGGATGCTGTCCCCACTGCTCACCCCCTCCACTGAGGGAGGTGTTAAGTAAAGCATGGAATACACACACAGGAATGTGAATAAACACTTCTGAATTCTGAAATCCATCAGGCCTCAAGAGTTTTGGATAAAGGATTATGGGCCTTTCCCTGAAGACTGGCAAATAGCAGGCAATAATAAGTACCTGTTGAACGACTACACTCTGATTCATTCTTATGATCATCAATCATTTGCCTGTGGGGCCTATGAAAGTGTTGAGGCTATGAGCCCACGCACCTCTGGCCACAGACAGCTATTTCAATTCTTCTGCCTGCCTTTGTAGTTTTTGTTTGGTCTTGTTTAGTCTTCTGTCTTGTTATAATGGCCACTAGCTGTAAATTCTGCGATCATCAGTATCCCTACATGCAGCAGCTCCTTTCTCCTGTTTTTCTGCAGCCTTAGGACTAGATAGCTAAGCGTGTATAAAGTAAATAAAGTGGCTCTGAATGAAGTCCTAAGGGCTTTGCAGTCTGGGTGTACACTTTGTTTCACCTATTTTGGCTGCTTAATGAGCCTACTTCCTGATTCTCAATGTTTAGTAACAGAGAAGTTATCAGATTACCAGAAAGTTACGTTCTTATCTTATTATTCCCATGTATAAGGGGAATATTTACATTTTCACCCTTTCAGGTTAAAAATAACTATTGAAGTTAAGCACTAGAAAAGTAAGCTCCCGGAGGGCAGGGGGTTTGGTCTGTTTTGTCCAGGGCTCTATTCCCAATACCCAGAACAATAAACATTTAATGCAGGAAGAACACTTTGGATGCAAGAATGTTTTGCCCTGACAGCTCCGGAAGAGCCTATTTGTTGAGGAACTCCTGGATGTGTCGATGAGGCAGAGGTTGTCAAACGACAGGATTAAAGGCAGATGAAGGAAGGTACTACTTTTTAAATGGTAATATTCAGAGACATAATAGTTCGGTAGATAACTTTTCAAGGATGGAGGAAAAACTCTCAGTATCAGCTTATGTGTCTTAACTTACTTTCAGACAAAAAGGAAAATGATATTTTAAACCAAATGCCTTTTAAAAAGGTCTAGACTCAGCTCACTTCCTCTCCATTACAGCTAAAATGGATGTATCTACACTCTCTGCGGTGGTGCCTTAGAAGGTACAGAAGGCAAGTTCCTCCATGCCAGAAAACACAGTGAGGATGCCTCGGGATTACGTGGTTTATAGTTTTGAACACACAGAAGGGTGAGACTGAAGAGAATTCTAATTGAGGGCATCAGTAAGGTCTGCGCAAGCGTCCAAAAAGCGTTCCCAGAACGAAGTTGCCAATGGATCTTTATGAATGCGCTGTTATATCAAACTCAAGGGCTTTCAGAGAGCAAAAAACAAGGTCAAGATTAGAAGAAGGCAGAGATGTTACTGGAGTCAGTGGGAATGAGAAGCAGTGCCACGTAAGAGAGAGGAGCCGACCTGGAGAAAAGGCTGTGAGAGAATTCCGCCCCCGCGGGGGTTCTGAGAACCCGCGGACAGGCTGCGGGTGCAGGGACAAAAAGTAAGCGTGGGTGCAACTGGCAGGGAGGAAAGGACAGCAGAATCCCAAAGGGGGTCGCGGCTCAGCTCCGGCAGGGCCGGGCCAGGCCTGGCCGCTGGAGGTCGCGCCGAGGGAGGCTGGGCCTCCGCACGCCAGCGCCGACCGGACTAGCCACGTTCCTACCGATCCGCACGCGTCCGGCCGTAGGTCCTGGAAGTCGGCGCCGTAGATGGCCTCCAGGGCCTGCAGCTCGTGGTCCTGTCGCTGCGGATAGCTCTCTGGCGGCTCGTCCCGACCGCGCCCGGGGGCCCCACGACCCCCAGCCATGACAACGCGGTGGCCGAGGCAGGGCGGCCTTGTAGCGGTAACGATGAGCCCCGGGCGGGCTCCGGGGCTGGGCTCCGCCGCGCGCGGGCCTGTGGGCGGGGCTCCGTGCCGGGGCGGGCCCGTGGGCGGGGCTCCACGTCGGGGGCGGGTCTATGGACGGAGCTCCACCCCGGAGGCGGGCTCGTGGGCGGGGCGTCGTGCCTGGAGGCTGCTTTGGCGTCCCGCCCGGGCGAGGGAGGGAAGCTGGGAATGCGCTTTGCCTACTTAATGCGAGAGAATCAGAGCAAAGGAATCTGCAGGAAAGTGGGAGATCAAATCAATCAGAAGAGAATGATAACGCCAAGTGGTATCGTTATTACGAAATAAGTCTCTTTAACAGAAGTGTCTGCTGGAACTCCTTCACCCTGGCGTGGGTAGTGAGAGGAAACTCTTCAAGTGCAGACTTCAATGGGTTTTCAAGTCACTGACCATCTCACCTTCAAACTTCCTACAAGACTACCAGGAGTAAAAATCGTGACCACTACTCCCTTTTCCCCCCGTTTTGTACTCCCAAACTCATCCCTTAACCGTAGATTCAACATCCCATGCATGTTCTCTGTCTCTACATTCCCACCGTTAGGGATCTCCATGCACCAACTTGCAATTTCAACTGAAAAATGTCTTTCCAATCATGCACATTTATGAGCTACATTTCCATGAAGAAAATTATGTTCCATGCCCAGTTTACTTAATGTGAATTTAGGGGGTCTTTCTATTATACCCTGCCTCCAATCATATTTTTCAAGTTTATAAAATAACCTATCTACCCAGACATTGTCATTGCACTTCATCTTCAGTTGTCTACTAATGCTGCATGTCGATTTAGAATAATCATATTACCTCAAGGTAGGTTTAAGTGATATTTCCTCTGTCTACCTTGCTTACCCCTATACTGTTTGCTAAATAATAATTATTTAGGCATCTTGCTGTCATCTATCCACTCAGTTCTGGCCAGATAACACAAATACACTAGTTTGACCCAAGGCCTCTTCAAACCATCTTCTCCTTCCCTCCACTGGGGACCTATTATTTTTCCAGTGATCCCTGTTTAGGTAAACGGCACCACCTTCCCCCCATTGGCCCAAGCCAACTGTGATCCTGGATTCCCTCTCAACTCTCACATCCAGATAGTCACCATTTCTTCAATCCATCCACTTCACTCTATTGCACTGCCACTAACTTAGTTCAGGCCACCATCATCTCTTCCCTGGATGACTTCAACTGCTGGAAAACCAGTCACTGTCTTCATTTTTGCCCCACTTTAAGCCATTCTTCCTATTGCAGCCAGAGTCATGTTTCTAAATCACAAATATGATCATAACGCTCCAATACTTAAAATCCTTCAATTTCACCACTAGTCTTTTTTATTAAAAACTTTAATTATGGAAATTTTCAAACATACATAAAAGTAGAGGAAATATTATAATAACCTTCAACACCCAGCTTGAACAATTATAGATATCTTGCCTGTCTTATTTCATCACCCTCCACAAACACACACCTCCTTAGCAGTGAATCTCAAAGAAAATCTCAAACAGCATATCATTTTTTTCTATAACTACTTAGGTATATATCTCTAACAGGTAAAGACTTTTTGCAAAAATAACATAAAAGCATTCTTACAGCTTAAAAATGTAACAATTGCTTAACATCATTTAATACCCAATCTATGTTCAAAATACCCCATTTGTCTAAAATTAGAATCTGTATTGGATGCTGGACCTATAAAGGAAATAATCAAAACAATCAGTTAAATTTGAGGGGAGGTCTGTGGATTAGATGGCAGGATTGTATCAGTGTTAATTTCCTGAATTTAATGGTTGTACTGTGGTCATATAGGAAAGTGTCCTTGTTATTAGGAAATTTCCACTACAGCCTTAAGGAGTAATAGGTATTATATATGCAATTAGCTCCCAAATGATTTAGAAACAGAGAGAGATGGTGATAAGTTAAATGTAGAATGTCAACCGTTGGGGAATTTAGGTGAAGGATATATGAGAGTTCTTTGGATGATTCTTGCAACTTTTATGTAAGTAATTGCCATCATATACAGTCATGCACTGAATAACGACGTTCCAGTCAACGATGGACCACTTATACGACAGCGGTCCCATAAGATCAATACCATAGCCTAGGTGTATAGTAGGCTATATATACCACCTAGGGTTTTGTAAGTACGCTCCATGCTGTTTGCACAATGATAAAATTGCCCCACGATGCATTTCTCAGAACGTATCCCCGTCATTAAGTGATGCATGACTAAATCTTTTCTGTTCAAATCTTTTGCCCAGTTTTTAAAATTGAGTTGTTTTCTTGTTATTGTTTTGAGAATTCTTTATATATTCTGGAAGTAAGTTCCTTATCAGATGTGTGATGTGCAAAGATTTTCTCCCAGCCTGCAGCTTGCCTTTTCATTCTCTTAACAGTGTTTTACAAAGAGCATAGTTCTTACTTTCGAAGAAGTTCAATTGATCAATATTTTCTTTTATGAATCATGTTTTGTTGTCACATCCAAGAAATTTTTGCCTAATGCAAAGTCACAAAGATTTTTCCCAATATTTTTTTCTATAAGTTTTATCTTGATTATGGTGATGGTTTCACAGGCATATGCATATCAAAAAGTTTCACATGTAGTTCTATTATGCAGTTTTAGTTAAAAAGTTAAACATATACCTACCATATTACACAGCTATTCCACTCAGGTATTTACCCAAGAGAAATGAAAGCATATGCCCATACAGAGACTTGTATATGAAAGTTCATAGCACCTTAATCCCCAAACTGGAAACAATCCAAATGCTCATCAGCAGGTAATGGACAAATTGAGGTAAAAACAAATTGAGATATATCAATACAATGGGATACTATTCAGCAATAAAAAGAAATACACTATCTATATAGTAATAACAAAGATGAATCTCAAAATAATTATGCTGTGTGAAAGAAGCCAGACAAAAGAGTACATACTGTATGGTTCCATTTATATAAAATTTTAAAAAATACAAAGTAACAGAAGATAAGCCATTCCCTGGGGTAGGGAGGACAATGGGTGAGCCAGAGGGAGGGATTCCAGAGGGACAAGGAGAAACTCTTGGGGCTGATGGGTATGTTCATTATCTTGATTGTGGTGATGGTTTCACAGGCATATGTGTATGCCTGTTGAATATATGCAATTTATTGTATGTCAATTACACCTTAATAAGCCATTAAAGGTTGTTGTTTTGTTTTGTTTTACAGTGGTTTATTTAAATCAGGATCCAAACAAGGTCCACACATTGCATTTGGCTGCCCTACGTGAAATAAAGGGTTAACTCAGCAGGCTTGGGATGTACAAACTCTGTACATTCCAAAGAAAAAACTGGCCCTTAACTGGCTCCTGGGAGATAACCTCTAAGCCCCTGCAGCATCCAGCCTGATAAGAGTGTCATTGTATAAGTGGGGTTCACAAACAACTTGTCAGAATACTCCAAGATTTCCTTATTCTGCAAGCCCTCCCTAAACTCTTAGGTCAGTTCTCCAAGGAAGAGTACTTCCCCATGCTCTCCCTGCTCCCCAAAAGTACATCTCCTGGTCTTGCTGTTCACCCTCAACTTCTCAAGGAAAAATTCCAAGATTGTTTGGTTGTTGTACTCCAAATTTTAAAACCATAATCCCCTTCCCCTTCATTCCTGAAAGATATTTTCACTAGATATAGAATTCTGGGTCAACAGTTCTTTTCTTTCAGCACTCAAAAAATGTCGTGTCACTTCTTTCTGGCCTACAAGGTTTAAATAAAAAATCTGCTGTCATTCACATTGTTTTTCCCCTATAGGTAACGTGGCATTTCTCTTTGGCTACTTTCAAGACTTTTTTCTTTGTCTTAGTGTCCAGAAGTTTGACTATGGTGTGTCTTGGTGTGGATTTCTTTGAGTTTATCCTGTTTAGGATTCACTCAGCTTGTTGAATCTCTAAGCTTATGATTTTTTCCAAATACAGGAATTTTTCAGACATTACTTCTTTAAATACTTTTTCTGCTCTGCTCTTTCTCCTCTCCTTCTAGGAGGTAAAGGCACTTACTTGTTGTTGCAGCTTTCTGTGGCCTGGCAGCCAGAAGCAGGAGAAGTAATGTGGCTCCTGCTGCTCAAGAAAGTATGAAATAAAAATTGCTTAGTGACTTTTGCATCACTTTATGGGTGTTTGTGTGCATTTACATATTTATATACCCAAATGAACCTTGTCCTTTAAATTCTGGGATAAGTTAAGTATATACTTCTATTCCAATGCCATGCCATTACTTCAAAGGCAGACTATGAGTCATAATATCTTATAGTCTTATCTTTTAGCAAAGAAGATATTGTCTTGATCATTTAATTCACTAGAATTGGTCCTAGATAACTTTTGGCTCTTTCAAAAAAAATCATATTTATTCTTAAAGGACATATTTGTTATGAGCAGGGATGCAGGAAAGAATGTGCCAGCTTCTGAAGTTAACTGTGAAAGTGGAGTCTCAAAAAGGTGTTGAGAAATCATGATATTCTTCAATAGCTAAACAGCTTCCTAAGGTGACTCCTTTAAAGGTGATAATACCCATGGATATTTTAGTTTTGGCATATTCACTATTTAAAAAACTAGTCGAGTTGCTTTATGATCACTATGTATGTGTGTGTGTCTGTGCATGTAAGACTACTGAGGCTATCTGGGGGAGGGGAGTATTCAACCTTCCACCTCCCAGGTATTCTTGATGAATTTAATAGCAATCTATAGGTGTAAGAATGATTACAAATGGGGAAACTGCATTAGGAGATATATTCATAGATTCATATCAATAGGAAACTATTTCCCAGTCCACATATTGAGATAATTTGAAATATATGAAGGACTGTACTAGTATCTTTTAAACAGATAATTGCTTTGATGGTAATTTAACACACTGAAAACTAAGAACCATAAAGTAAACATATTAGGCCAACAATGTAAAGGCTAAATCCTGGACTTCTAAATCTTCAAGCAAAATTTCCCAAAAGCCACTCTGTCCTTTGCTAATTGTAAATTAAGTGGTTCTTCCATTTTTTGAA